AAATAATTTTACAGTCTGGTCAGTGACCTGAGATAGCCTGTGACTCCCGCACACACTCTCCCCGCTGCCATCCAGGACAGGCTGCGCCTGCTGTACACAGAGAGGACCCATTCAGATGCACTTCCGGAGTCCCCGTCTCCATGAAGACCAGCTACAGTGAGGCCAATCCGAGAAAAGCGAGCAGCGTCCCTATGGAGACCAGCTTGTTCCCGCCCAGTAAAATAAAAAAAAAGTAACTCAGTCGGCGGATTGAAAAAGAGGGTAAAGTGGGCGGAGCTACGAGAAGCCAACTAAGAAAGAGATTGGGTCAGAAGTGGTGGGCGGATCTAGTCGTTCCAGCTATTAAAACGGTACCTGTTATCAGAGGAAGGGCGGAGATAGGAGAGCGGTACCCCCGTCCGCGGCTGGTCCTGGAGTGGGCAGAGCGAGGGACACTTTATACCCACCCAGCACTGCAGTAAGAGCTCAGCTTAATATATGAGAAGGTGGATCTAGCAGCGCCTTGTCCCCGCCCACTACAATGGGGTCCTAGTCGTGTTGGTGGGAAGAGAGGCGGAGCTAGGCGCTCACAGTCCCCGCCCAGCAAAAGGTGCTTCAATCTTGTGAAAGGGGTAGAATGGGCGGAGTCGGAAGGACTTAGCCCCGCCCAGCAGAAGGATGTCGGATTTGAATAATTAGGAAGCGAGGGTGGAGTAGGCGGAGCAATGAGCACAGCATCAAACAACTGGGCAGTGATGGCACCAGTCACTCCACCAAAACACTGTGTGTTGTCAGCCTACAACAGCACATAGGAGCTGAGTACACCACTACTAGATCATCAGGTATCTTCCTATACCAGCAGGGTCTTTAAAGGGATATAGCCCGGAGAAATGGGCATGTCTTGCAGAGGTCTTCAGCAAATATGTTTTTATTCTATTGTCCTGACATGCACTTTATTTCACCCCACCCATAAATCAGATATCACTGGGGGTGATAGTCCTCTCAATGTGCTCCAGGTCCTAGGTGTAAATGGATGAAACTCACTTTTTCTTTCTTTCTGCAGAGACATAAATCCCAAGAACATATTATTTCACAGCAAAGGACATATATGGATTGCTGACTTTGGTCTGGGAGTGACGAGGATTTTGGAAGATCAGGTCATAGTAGGGTTTGGTGGCACCACAGGTTTCATGGCTGCCGGTGTATGTCAAGTTCTTCATCTGCAGTAGCCACGCCCCCTCCCCCCATTTAGTAAAAACAGAGGTTTTAAAAATTTTTTATTTAACCCTAATCATAAAGTTACTAACTTGTGTGTCTTTTCTGGTTGACAGATTGTAAATGAACAACCGTTCCCATTTGGCCCAAACGGGTTTGCACTAGGGATGAAATAGGGAGCATAACGCTGGCTTTCTGGCCAATCAAGAAGCCAGGGGCAGGTCATTACTTGCCGCTTGGCTTCCTGATTGGCCAGCTTCCCGACCCATTTAGGAAGCCAGTACACAACGCCCGGCTTCCTGATTGGCCGGGAAGCCTGCTCCATGATCCTTCGTCACCAGGTGATGAGGGAACATGGAGCCGGCTTTCTGGCCGATCAGGAAGCCCCCGCGCAAGTAATGACTCGCCACCTAGCTTCCCGATTGCCCAGCTTCCCGACCCATTTAGGAAGCCAGATGGCAAGTCATTGCACGGCGCACAGCTTCCCGATTGGCCGGGAAGCCCGCTCCATGCTCCCTAGTCACCAGGTGACGATCTGGCCAATCAGGAAGCCGGGCAGCGTGTAATGACTCGCTACACGGCTGCCTGATACTGGAAGTTCTGTTTTTGGGATAGGCATCAGGAGCATTTGGGCCACTACTCATACTCGCCCAAATACTCGGTATCAGCATGGATCTAGTTTTAGTTGGGGGGGGGGAAAACAATTTATTACATGGCGCAGAAAATTCTGCTATTTCCTCGAATATCAAAATATGCAGAACAGGTGAACACCAAAACCTAACTTACCCGTCCTGAATCCTTCCGGCCTTGAAGGATCTCATAGACCCTTGGTTCTCAACTGGTGGGTCGTGACCCCAAAAGTGTGTCGCGACCCCGTGTTCAATGGGTCGCCGTGTGCCTTCCACTTTTCTAGGCGAGAGTCTCTTAGCCTCCTCCTAGCGCTGCACTGTCAGTTCTCACTCAGAGCAGCCATTCAGAATATCCTGCCCGGTGTCGAGTGTCAGCTTCAGGTGCGGTGGGCTGGAGCTATGGCCATGCGGACGTTCCATCCGTCCATACATGCATTGGTTACGTGTCCTGTAGAGGTGCCTGGACCGGAGTGACGTCACATTGTGGCTACTGGCACCTCTACAGGGCGTGCAAGGGAGGTGTACAAACAATGCACGTATGGATGGAGCTCCGTCACAGCACAGCAGCCCAGCACTGGACCCCCAGCCAAGGATCCACTCCAGTTCTCGTAATGGCACACCTCCCACCCACAGTTCAATTGCCCGCACTGGAAAACACGGTACCGCAAAACCGTGCGTTCCATTGCAGGTTGACTTGGGTCACCACTTAATGGCCAGGGACAAATGTGGGTCCTGAGGTTACACAGGTTGAGAACCGCTGTCAGACTGGGCACACACCTTACAACCATTCCAAGACTTTTGTCTTGCGATGGTTGTAAGGTACTTAAAAAAAAACGTACGATCTGCCTATCTTGGACAGGCAGATCGTACTTGCGATGATTGCAAGCCGCGCCCCCGAGGGGCGGGCTTCCGATGACCGCAATGCCGAACGTGCAGCGTGCGCTTGCGCACACCGGCCCGTCCGGCTTTTATCGTACGAACATGCTACACACCCGCCGCACATCGTACGATGCTCGGCGGGTCTTCGAACATGTTCGTAAGATAAAAGTCGTGCGACCGTACAGTAGTCGCACGCCTTCCACACACCTTACGATAATCGTACGATCGCGGGATTTCCCGCGATTATCGCAAGGTGTGTGGGCACCTTCATAGACAGAGTAAGGAGACACCGATGTTTACAAGTCTGGATACTGAACGTGTCTTTTATAGCTGCTTTGCAAAGATCCAGACGAGAGACCGGGAGAGAATGGAGACGTCAGATGTCAGATCCATTTTTCCAACCCATTAATTGGAAAATGATCGAAGAAGGATACGACCCCCGTTCCCAGTGTGCACAGCAAGTACACCATTCCCTATGATCTTTGTAACACAACCTTCACTATACATATGTGACTGGGCGATGCCATGTCCTGTCATATTGTCCTTTCCCGAGGATTTCAGAACATTTTCTGTACTTTTCAGCATAAAACTAAAATCTGACATTTTCATTTTTTTCCCCTTTAAAAGTTAATAGTGGTCACCTGGCATACAGTGTCACTGTCACCAAGTGAGCTAAAGCAGAGACACTGGCACTCCAAATTTGCAAAATACGTCTATTTATTGACGTGCATCGTGGTAAAAAACAACGACCGTTTCGGGGTCACAAAGGATCCCCTTCATCAGGTAAAACATACAAAAGGGATTCACGCGGTCTGGAGTGCGATGGGACCATGGACTATCACCAAGTGTCGCACATAGTGACAGTGACATACTTTGAACATCGCTGTCATGAGGGAGTTAAATGTTAAAAAAATTTACGCCTTAGGGTGAAAGACAAATCTGCAGCTCAGCTAATTTTCTTTTATAATAAAATAGTATAAAAATATATTTAAATTAGGGCTGTGCAAATTAACGATTAATCGTTAATTTGCACAGCCCTAATTTAAATACAGTAAAAAAAAAAAAAAACAAATTTTTTTTTTTTTTTACTGTATTTAAATTAGGGCTGTGCAAATTAACGATTAATCGTTAATTTGCACAGCCCTAATTTAAATACAGTAAAAAAAAAAAAAAACAAATTTTTTTTTTTTTTTACTGTATTTAAATTAGGGCTGTGCAAATTAACGATTAATCGTTAATTTGCACAGCCCTAATTTAAATACAGTAAAAAAAAAAAAAAACAAATTTTTTTTTTTTTTTACTGTATTTAAATTAGGGCTGTGCAAATTAACGATTAATCGTTAATTTGCACAGCCCTAATTTAAATACAGTAAAAAAAAAAAAAAACAAATTTTTTTTTTTTTTTACTGTATTTAAATTAGGGCTGTGCAAATTAACGATTAATCGTTAATTTGCACAGCCCTAATTTAAATACAGTAAAAAAAAAAAAAAACAAATTTTTTTTTTTTTTTACTGTATTTAAATTAGGGCTGTGCAAATTAACGATTAATCGTTAATTTGCACAGCCCTAATTTAAATACAGTAAAAAAAAAAAAAAATTTAGTTTTTGTTTTGCTGGAGTGGGGCTGTCAGTATGTTAGCTGCAGTGCAGTGTGTTAGACGTGTTTTGCGTTTCCTCACCGTACAAAATGTGACATGCAGTATTTTTCCCTCGTAACCTGAACGGACTGCGCACGTGAGAACTGTAGCCCATAAAACACATAGGGATACATTGGGATGCATTTTTAGTGCAGGAGCCTACGGATCCGGTCAGCACAGAAAACGGACGTCGTGTGAACAGGCACTTACAGTTTTTACAATTTTTGACACTATTTTCAGTAAAGGCTTCTGATCGTTCCCCAGAATGATCAGAAGCCTGCAACATTGTTTCAGAATAGAAACATGAAGCTAAATGTCTCTACGCTGAAACATTTTAGAAAAAAGCCGGTGTCCTTATCCCGATCTGTACCTGCCGTCATACAGTGCCGTAAACACCGCTCGGCTCTCACTTCATACACTTGATCTCTGAAAGGGATCGGGTGTGTGTAAAAGCTTAAAACTTTCATTAATGGATGCCTAAATACTGAGCCATTCATTAACGGTAACCACTAATTCTCAGCGGTTACCGGCATTACAGATCCCCGAATAGCTGCTCACGTACAGTGTACATGACCAGACATTTGGGCACTTAGTGCAAATGAGTTCTAGGGTTTTTGTCAAGCTAGCCAACGCTGCTAACGTTGGCCTCAACATTTGGTGATGAAAAGTTTTAAAAAGTAATTTAACAGAATTGGGGGAGACGGGAGTAGCACTGGTTATTTTTGGTTGTTGAAGTGTATTTGTTGCCTACACTGTCCCCACTTATGCCTG